TCATATGAGGCATAAAATCAAATACAGCTGGCATGCTGTGATGGCACTGTTAACATAGAATGGACAAATTTCAACACATACCTGAACACATGAAAACCGGTCAGTGGTATCATAGTGATTGTTACATTACATGAAAAAAAATTTTACAAAAAACACCAGAAATTATTATTATTATATAGAAATTATATTATTATTAATTCAATAATTTCAGCTGTACAGTGAGTTGGTAAAAGCACATTATTTTATCCATAAAAATCTGTAGGCCAAAATCAGTGTTCAAATGACTTTATTGGAAAGTGTCCCTAGTCCATCAATTTCACAGTCTACAACATCACCTCTCTACAGAGAAACAAAACAATACAATTATTATAAGCTTGTCATGTTGTGATATTTTGATACTACGAGTACCATAAACTATAAAAAAAGTTTGTCTATAATTTATTTTGTTTTCACAAAACGAACATTATTTTTGAGGTTTGGGCCAATATTATGAAAAAATAAATAGTTCTGCATCTGAGTAATTTGAAAGGTCAATGATGTCACAACAATTAGAAAATAGATAGTAATGACCCCAAGGAATGCAATCACAGTTATGTGTGACTTCAATTAATTAGTAACTCTATGATTAGATTATTCAACATACTTTGACACATATACACACATAAATCTTACACACACAGGAGGTAAAATTAAATGGAAAGCACACATGTGAACCATACCTTAAGGAATATTGGATTTGGTTTGTGGAATACTCCCACACCAGGTGGTGTGCCTGTCAGAATGATATCACCAGGCTGCAATGTGAGGAACCTGAGGAGATCATATGGAATATTTTGATATGGAACTTTTTATTAGATTTATTAGTGATTTAATAGTGGTTAAAATACCAATATAAATAATTATTTTAATAAACTGATTGGTATTACCTTGATATAAATGAGACAAGTGCTTCTGTTTTAAACACCAACTGATTGGTATTACTATCTTGCATAGTGTCACCATTGACTTTGCAGCGTATACCAAGTTTATGAGGATCTACAGAAATACACAAGTCATTTCAAAGATAGATAAAAAACTGAAGAACTCATTACTGATCACAAGATCATAAGACACATTGTGCATTTTAGGTTTTTACCTTAACAAATTTATAAATGTATGATAAACTCTATCAAATGTTTGCATGGTTACTAAAAGTACTCACAATTGTGTTATCTCATGCAGATGGTCAGAGTAAGTATGTTTGATGTGTACATAAAATGAGAGCATCATTACAATACCATATATGGAAATCTAAGTTACATTTCTGCATATCATTCTTATATTAAACTATTACTCTCTCTCGTTTGTCTATTTACAAACCTGTAATTTCATCTTTAGTGACTATTGCTGGTCCAATGGGGCAGAATGTATCCATGCTTTTACCAATCAAATATTGACCTCCATTCTTTTTTAGCTGCCAATCCCTGGCACTCACATCATGCCCCACAGTGAAACCGACCACATGGTTCATGGCATCTGACACCTTAAGAAAAATATCATAAGGCAGAAATCTCAACTTACCGGTAGTAATAGTTTTGAAACATTCTTAATCATTATATAGTTATCCAAGGTTCCCTTAACTCACATCCATATGTGAAAGATAGTATTTTGTTTGGTAGTATTTTATCTGACTAGAAAATTACTTTCTTGTTTGATTCTAATAATTGTCTGTACCTGTATATTCTTTCCAGCTCTACCAATAACAACAACTAACTCCACTTCCCAATCAATTTCATCAGATGTTTCTGGGTAAAGTATATCTTCTCCAGGTCCAATTATTGTACTGGAAAATTTACTGAAAATAACTGGTTCTGTCGGGACTGGTATACCTTGCTCTGCGCAGTGATCTGCATAATTATTTCCAATGCATAGTACTTTGTCTGGATTTGTTATTGGTGCCTTCAGCTTGATGTTATCTCTTCTGACCACATGCTGGCCTGATGCTACAGCTCTGTAATTAGGAAAAATCTTTTCAAAGAAACTAAATATTGTGACTCTCCTAATTTTTTAAAAATGCTTGTAGAGGTTAATTTATTTCACCCAATATCGAACAATTCAGAGGTAAATAAGAATAAATTGTCACTTGTGGATGTGTGGCAATTGAATCCTAAGTGACAATGACAATGCATGCTGAAAACGCAAAGGTGACAACTCCCTCGTTTTAAGATTGAAATGCATTAGGTGATAAAAACATTTTAGAATAAAATGAAAATGTAAAAAGTTTAACTCTAGCTTTCACATTCATTACTTACCAATTTATTCTGATAAAAATAAATGACACATCACATCAACTTCTAATACAGACTGGTTTTATTTTGGAAAATGAGTTTGAAAATATGTCAATTTTTTGTCAATTTTTTCATGTTTGAACCACGGTAAAGAAAGCAAATGTCAAATATTGACAATTAAAAACTCCTTCATTTACTTTTCATCTCAAGTTTTTCCCAGATGACACTAGTATAAGTTGTTAGTTTGCTTTCCTTTATTGAATGTGTGTAGATTTCCATTCCATTTATTTTTCTCTGTCATTCCTTCAGATGTTTATCCAATTTATCCCCTTCCAGAATTACTAATGGTTAACTCGTTTTGCTGCCCAATTAACTTCCCATATTTCAGAGTAATTTTTTTCCTTATAGTCTTAATGCAAAAACATTAATTTTAGTATTGTACAGCTCATAATATGATAGTTTGTAAATTGTTTGCTCAAATATGAACATAAACAAACTTTTTGTATTGGTAATCAATAGTATTTTAAGTCAGTCGATGAGGGCGCAATAACTCGACGCCAAGCATTATAAAATACGCAAAGTTGCAAAATGTTGAATAACAATTCACTTTCCAAACATCTTCTATAAAGGGACTGTGGTAAAACATAGAACTATAATCCGCATCTCCTCCCCTCCATACCGAAGACTAATTAGCAATATATATAATTATAATTTATACCTTTATTACACTTTTTAACCAAACTAGAAATGTATTATTTGTTTCTTTACGGCAGTAATAAAGAATTATCTATCTTATATACGTAATACCTTTTGGCAATATCGAGCATAGCCGCCCCACCTCCAAGAAAGGTAACCATATCTTTGGGGATGGAACTATCATAGGACGCAAGGTCAACAATACCAGCCCCGTCGCTCAGCTCCACGCCTACCTTCGCATGTTCTAGACCTGTGACATTGTTCTCGATAAATTGGACCAATCGCATACTGCAGCGAGCATTGGTGGAGAAAGCTCTACTGTTAGTAAATGAATATTGAAAATAGCTCTTCACAGCTCGGCGTAACATGAGCTGTCGATGTCCAGTATCACGTCAGGTCACTATTAAAATTTAACTTTGACTAAATTGACATTGATAAAGCAAGAAAGGTGTGACCTATAACCTCACTGGTCACCTGACTTAGCTTTCAAAATGGCTGCTGCTGGGTAAGTAAGCGTGCGCTTGGTGTCAGTATTTGAGTGGCAGCTGTTGGTGCTTTGATGTCCAAAACTGCAGCTGTGGCGATTTATTTGAGAAACAAGCGTGGCTGACGTGACAAGGAATTGTGGTTATCGAGAGCGCAATCACTGACGAAAGTTCGGCAGTTTCCATCGTCAGAACATGGATGGGTTTTACCTCCGTATGTTCAGATAATCCGCATTCACTCATCGCACATACGAGCCGGGACACCTACCCGCTAATATTCCATTCTTGTTTTACTGTGAGTTGCGCGTTATATTTAAGACTTACATTACAGTTTAATCAAATTTTTCCAAAAAACAGCTGTAAAATTGTTTTGTGATTTTGTCATTATCCCTATAGTATATTGGCTAAATAAATCGCAGCCCTTATGTTAGATAAGATATGGTTGAACTATGGAAGTATCTCCATGGTTGAACATTAACCGATACGTGCTATCAAGTAGTGGTTGTGTTTCAGGGTATCGATTGTTGTCAGGGCTTGATGTCACCCTTCCAAAATGCATGTTGCCTATGTAATTTATTATTGTCTGTTAAGGCAAGAGAGTTACTCAAATGGGAATTTTACTTGGACTACCCTTAGTCGCTGCTTCGTGTCGATCCCTAGGTGTTCACATCTCCACAATTGTCGCCATCGATATTGCTGTGTCAAGGGTCAAACTGCAACGTACGCTGTTAAATGTGTGGCATATGTTTGTAATGTGTCCTGAAATGTCCCGTGTTATCACTCTGCGTGTCAGTTTACTGTATCTTAATTCATTATTACTACATTATACACCATTACAGGGAGGTTGTAGTCGCAATGATTGATTACAATGTCCCTATGTTAGAACCTCAGACAACTATTGGTCTGAGGTTCGAGAGCCGTATAGTTTATAGAGCGGGGATGTGAGAAGTTTTGCATTGTCTTGTTCCATGCGCGCCATCAACATTTGAATTATCGATTTAAAAAAAATGATGTGGTTTTCCTTGGTCGGATATGATACATCGGACTCTGAGCACAACATGCTACACGTGTCTAATCGGTGACGTATGATACCTTCAGTTTATAATTTGCATGAGACCCGGGATTTTCCCGATGCAATTTCGTTGATTTCAACCATGCAAGAGAATTTAAGCTCCACGTTTCAACACAAAGTTTAATCCCAGCTTGTTAAACCGCAACGACCATTCGTGTTATTCATGGTTGCTATAAGAACTAGAAACTGTGTGATTTAATAACACCCAATTGTAAGCCAATCTGATGAGCAATGTGCTAAGCTGAACACACCCTGGTATAAAGCAATGTGCTAAGCTGAACACACCTTGTTTATAAAGCAATGTGCGTCTGGTGCCGTTACTTCTCAGTTCAGTTAACAATGTGCGCGTTAAATATAAAAATTGGATTTTGCGGGTTTAATAGAAATGTTTTAACATTGGATTTAGTGACAAAAAAGTTTTACGAGTCGGTGTGTGTTATTGTGGTTTGAATTATACTATAACTCGTAGCTAATTTGCATACCATGGCAGTCACGTTTGGTCGCCAGTGAAATATTTATTAAAAAAATAACGGCTTTGAGGAAAACTTAAATAAGGTTATCAAGTGTTTGTGTTTGACATGGTTTCGGTGTTCTGTGCCAAAACTGTAAAATACTTTGTTTTCGCTTAGAATTTATTTTCACTAATTTCGCTGAAGGGTTGATTCAGTGAAAATAAAATCCAGTGAATATAACTTAACCTATATTCTACATTCAACTCATCAAAAATCAATGAAAATAAATTCCATCCATAAAATGAATCCCAATTAAAATAAAACATTCTACAGTACATTGTTCGAGATACCATGCCGGTGTCTAGAAATGTGGCCTTGCACACACACACACACACACACACACACACACACACACACGCACACACGCACACACGCACACGCACACACACACGCACACACGCACACACACACGCACACACACATATATATATATGCGGTAATAGAGGAATTGATTCTATGAAATTCTAGGAATTCTATGTTTGAAGGAAAAATTTATAATAATTTTTAGACCTCACCACTCCACACTAAACAAAAGAAATGAACTTGTATCATCATGCCGACACAGATCAAAAGCCTTATTATGTAACACTTAAACGTGTATGTTTTTTATTTTTATTAATATGTTAATTTGCGAAGTATATGTATGCTCGTTGGTGCAAGAATTAAACATAAAGCTCCTGATGAG